CTGGGCCCGGCCGTCCAGCCAGTTTTTGACCCAGCGCAGAGTACACCTGTCTAAGCCGTGAGCCGCCAGCTTCTCTAGGAGACTGCTGTGGGAGACGGTGTCAAAGGCCTTACTGAAGTCCAGGTAGACCACATCCACAGCCTTTCCCTCATCCACTAGGCAGGATATATATACATACGTCTTATAGTAAACAGGTAATTTTTAGTAAGCCGCAGCATTAGTTTCAGTTAGACAGTCACCTAAAATGTACCTAAGAATATAAAAACTTTTAACATTATCTCTGCTAGGGTAACTTTAAAATTTTTGCTTCATGTCATAGAAGAAAAGTAAGATTTGTGTGTAGACGGTTTTGTTTATATTAAACATTAGCTCGTTTCACACACTCGATAACCAACCTTTAGCAGCTCAGCTCATTAAACATAATGTCTTGCTTTACATCAGTTCTATCTGAAGAGCTCTTCATGTTAAAAACAGGCAACGTAGCACTATTGTTACTGGCTTCGTATCTTGGAACCCAAACAAGAGGAGAAAGATAAATATTGTAGAGAGAGATACAATTACAGCTTTCTGGGCATATGAATATTGGGATCAGTGGAATTTGAGATTTAGATTTTATTTGCAGCTGGCAAAAATAGTAAATATTGAGCCTAATTCATAATATAGTTATTACTGGTTTTACACTAATACAAGGTTAACAACAGCAGACAGAATAAAGGAGTGTTCTATGAGTCTTTCTTTATTGAGTGTGAACACTTGGGAATTTTTTTATGCTATCCCTGCTTGGTGAGACTGACCATGAACAAGGAGGCAGCCAAGGTAGTACAAATTCAACAACAGTGTGCATGTGTGGATCTTGTCAGTATTATGAGAATGCCTTGATTTTATAACTTTTCTAGACTATAGTTCACAGATGAACTGTCACCTTGTTATTCTGTATCATGTATAAAAAAAAGCCACAATTTATTTATTGCCTGTACTTTTATAGCATTTCCTTAATAAATCTTCCATGTACTGGCCATTATTTTCAGTAATATTTTGGAACATTTCCAACATAGAACTATACTAGTTATAGGAATTGCATGATTTTTGTTCATGGTGTGCTTTGAAGATGTAATGTACATTTTCCATACAACTGTTTAACATAAATGCCCACTTCAGAATATGTGAATTTTTTCTTATTAATATGAACAATATTGCATGACAAATACTCAGCTGTATAAGCTTGCTGAGATCTTTATTAATATTTTAAATTATATAATGTTTAAAAATAACTGCATTTTAGCTCCATTCAGCAGAGGGAAAAGTTGTTATTTGGGCAGCCAATTCATTTAATTAGAAAACTGTTCTAAATTTACTTTAAAAATTTTTGTAATGTGAGTATTAGTGTGTTTAAGAGTATTTGGCTGTGGCCTTATGTTGCTACACTAAGTTATAGGTATGTCATTTAATTAGATTTCACTGAGGAGTAATAAGCCTTCAAGGATTATTTATGCATAAACTGAAAGTTACCGTGCCTTTTGGAAATGCAACTGTTGCTGCAGTGGAACATCTAAATAGTGAAATATTTATGAAAGCAAGGAGTATGGGATGCAGCGGGGAGCCCTTCTTCAAAGCCAAATGCCTGTTCCTTTCTGCATGCTTACACGTAATTATTTTTCTAGGCTCTTTATGTTAAAATTCAGGTAAGTTTTACATTAGAACTGCTTGTGGAGCCTACTAATTTTGACTTCACAATCTTTTAATTTTTACGGGATGTTGCTTCAGATACTGTGTAGAACCTGGTCCCTGCTGCTGTTGGGAGACAAGACCGTATGGTTTTCGAAGCTTTATCTATTAATATATAATCCTTACTCTACAACTGCATACCTTTTTCTGTGCTTGCAACAAAATCAGCAGACATGTTGTTGTTTCCCTAATGTATTCCTTATTCCTCTGAAATTTGAATTTTGGATACTTGTAGTGAGTTATATTGGCAGTAAAACAGCAGTGGTAAAATTGTGTTCAGAGGAATACAACAATTTATGATTAACACCTGCTAAATATTATATGAGGCTGTATGCAAAAAGGTTCTCGGAAACAATGCTGCAGTTTGATACTGTCAGGTGAAATGCAAGACCACAACAGGAGTTAGGTAGCTATTAGTTTATTGATAATACACTCACACTGCAATCAGCATGGGGAGCCACAGTAACTGCACGGAGGGTTGCGAGGGAAAAGTGGACAGTCTGGTCAGGCGCCCGATCGAGGCTCAGTCCAGGGACGTCCCCTCAGCTTAGATACATATATATATATATATATATATAACCTGCTGTCAAAAAGAAAAAGTATCATGCCCACCTGGTTACACATCAAACAATACAATGCTGCAATAACAAGAAGCTCAGGTCACTGTGACCTGATGATCATCAGCGGGGGCAAGATGTTTGCTTTGTGAACTGGGATTAGATGACGTGCATCGAGCCGTGTCCTCGACTCCTCGCCGATCTTCCAAGTCCTCCCCTTGCAACTTGCACATCCCAACGTGGTGCATTTCTCTGTACAAACTGCAGGGACCAGATTCCAAAACTGGAGTAGATGATTTTAAGCATAGTTTTTCTTTATCCTTGTGGTATAGCTATTTACATTTGCAGCAGCACAGATATTTATGTGTTAAAAGATATATATATAAAGTATGTTTCCTATTATTTCTGTATTTAAAAAAAAAAATCTAATGCAGAAGTATTCTTAAGTTCCTTCCCCAATATAATCTGAAAATTTATACTGTGTTTTAGGAAGACTTTTGAAATAATGTACACAAACAAAGATTACCTGAAAATACTGCCTGAAGGAAGACAATGAGAATCAGATGGCAATATGCCATCAATAACGCTCAGAAATGCAGCTATTTTGAGGTTAGCATTTCTTTTGTTCACTTGGCTGTCTCTATTCTGGCTGATTCACATCAATCCCAAAGCAGAAATCATCAATAAGGTGCTTCATTAAGACATGGAAAATAGTCTTCAGTCTTGAAGAGGACTGGAGGTTCATAGAGGGTCTGTTGTTGTCGTGAGGAAGACGATTTCTGCAAATTAGATAAGTTTATTTTTTGCCTTCTTAAAAAAGCAAGTTTTAAAACAAAGCCTGCAGAGCTAAAATGCAAAACAAGAAAAGTTTTAAAGGCGTATCTCCTTAGTCAGGCGAATTTTTAATCATAGCTCAGATGGGTCTAGCATATTCTTAATGCTAGTGAAGAAAAGCAGCCTTTGACTTTTGCCATTCTATCACCTGAACAGACGCAGTCCTGGAAAGCGTATGATATGCCAGCTTTGCAGCAGCCAAACGGGTAATCTTTTCCAGCTGATGGTATAGTCATTGTAACCTTCATCCTTCCAAAGCCATATACCTTTACGTGTCCTGCTCAGGCCTTTGAGTTCTCCTCAGCCGCTTCCTTTGAGTTAACCCTAGCCTGTGTTCTCATTTACTTAGTTAAAAAAGTCTGCATATGGAAACGCACCTAGCAAATGCTTCTTCCGAAAAGGTTGCTGCTCCTGCTGAGCTTCTTCATCAAATACATGTTAGATTATATGTACTGTGACATACCGTTAAAAGTAATACGGTAGTGGACTGGAAAAGAGCTGTTACGCTGTTTTTCAGGAAGAGCGTACAAGTTTCTTTTAAATATTAACTGTACGTTGTTTTGCTATACCAAATGGCTCATTTAAAGAGAGAACAGCAAGGACCACTACTGACTGTTGTGTCAGCCCTCCTGCATGTAAATAATGCTGCACTGCAACACAGAGCCAGCGTACGTTTTCAACATACAGTCTTAAATAGAAGGCTCGAAATCAAGACTTCATTCATTAAAAATTCTTTTGGACTTATGAAAAGATTTTGATGAACTATTTTGCAGAGCTCTCAGTCAGTTTGTCTGCAGAGTTCTTCAGATACTTTTTTGCCTGTCTGGGATGAGGAAATTAAGAGTCTCTACCAATAATAAAGTTAAAAGCATACCAAGTATCATGAGTATACTTGGAGTTTGGAATGCGTTGATTTATGACATTTAAATTGTATTTGTCTTTAACTTTACGATACCATTAATTTCTCTGAAATAAGTTTGTTTTGCCATTCAAGTTGTAATGAAATAAAAAATATAAACAAAGATTGGATCTATAAATAGTGCATCAGTGTTCTCTATATCAGAAATTTTGCCAAACGTATAGACAATCTTTGAAATCAAAGTTCTGTTTTTAAAAATTATTTCCTATCCTGTACTGCCCTATGAGAAAACACCTTGCAAGCAAGGGAAACTAAGGTCACAGGTATTCTGCAACTCATGACACTGATGTAAGAGGCACTGTATTTGCGTATGTACAAATAATAATTTCAATAATTTCAATCCCGTGAGGAAATTCATAGGCAGGCACAGTACCCACAGTTGCCTAAGTACACATTTATGAATAGTTCTTTTTGCAGCTGCTTAGCAGACATTTTTACCTTTTGAGAGAGTCTACATCCTTAGTGATATTAGAAGTCTTACAGTACTGTACTTTACACTGCCTGGTATTCACAAGGGAAGAACTTGGGGCAAAATCTGAAAGTGAGATTACAAATACACAGCTTAAGAAATACAAAATATATCCTTTGTGTAAAGAAACATACATTCAAATGGGAAGAGTGAGGGGACTTGACTACAGTACAGTTGTAGTAGGAAAATGTGAACTACAACTACAGTGAAAATCACGATACTGGTATAGCCTTCTTTTCTGAAGGGTTGATGTACTGAGTGAGCTAATTACATGTTAGGCATGAGCAGAAGTCTCTGTAGGCATTTTCATTCAGACATGCTTGTGTTTACTAGTGAAAATAGATATGCAATACTCGGTATCACTGCAGAATAGTAACCTGCCTTTTAGTTAATCAGTTAATACCAGTAAGTTCTGAGGGTCGATTTTATTGCTATCCGTACTCAAACCAAGGAACCACTGGACGTGCCAGTGTCAGCTTGCTGACGCTTTCGAAGACCTTCCACCTTACTAATTGTGGAAAAACTGCTAAGCTGACAAAGTGTTCCCATGCAACACTAAAAAAGCACTTTATTAGAACTTTCAAACTTTTCAATTGAAGATTATTAATTCTGTGGTTGACAACTGTTTTTAGCAACAAAATGGAAAATACTGTTGAATATTCAAGACAACTGCTGCAGTTGTTGGTTTTTGCAATTGGCCCATAAATAGCAGCTTTGTGTTGTTTGTTTTTTTTTTTTTAAAAAGAAAAAATGACATCTCTCTAAACTTCAACACCAAAGAAAAATGACAGAATGAGAAGTTAACTAACTTAGACTACACAGGAAATAGCAGTGAAGAACAGGTTTCCTGAACTGAGTCTTGCCAAGACAATACATATTCTTTTTACAACTATTTTTCTCTGCTGCCACATGTGCTTGCAATATGTAGGAACACAAATGCTTCAACAGTCCCAGCCATCTTCCTCTCCCCCTCTGCAAACCTACTTTATTTCAGCATTCTCACCAGTATTATGATACAGAAGCCTGAGCTAGTACAGGATGAATATAGGAAAAGATAAAGAAAAGTATCTGGGAGCTGACAAGACGCAAGGAGGAGTACTTATAAATGGTGTATTGGCAGGTGATGCCAAGAAGCATCAGGTGGTTCAGAAGATTTTTTTTTTTTAACCAGAAGGTTATTTTAAAACTAGGGCATAGTGCCAGTATTTAAGGCTAGGTATGGCATCTCTTTGAAACATACTAGAGAGAGCACTTCAAGTCTTCCGCAGAGAAACAGTCCACAGGTAGTAATGACGAAAGGTAGAGAAAAGTGCACCCTTAGAAAGTTTAACAAGGTGCTTACATGATTACTGAACTGTGTGGACTGAGTAGAAACAGAACTTTTATTTTAAAAATATTGTGCAGCGTAGTTTTCATCTCCTTTTTTGGTAACATTTCTGCAGTGATATTCTTAATGCACTATGATCCTTTAACAGTGTTGTCTGTGCAGGCTCTTTCTAATTGCTTTGCATACCATCAGAGATCAGGGGTGCTTTAATATAATGCCTTGTTCATTATGGGCTTGTTTGTGCCCTTCATGTTCCCTTTTTCATGTATTCAGCCTTATTTTGGAAAGTTACACAAATCCTTGTAAGAATTTGTGATTTTTAAGTTTGGGTTGTTTTTTTTTTTTTTTAATTAAGTCTGAGAACTTCGCAAAAATCCTAATACAGTATATGAAAGTTTTACAGTTAAATTCAGATATATGTGCAACAAACTTACTATTATTTTAATCACCCACTCTGGTAAGCAGAGCAACTAAGCTGGTCACATGATAACAAAAGCTTACTTACATTAAGGAAGGATGGTATGCTGATTGTGTGCAAGATTTTCTTGAATGTGCTCGGAAAAGCTCCAAGGTCTGTTTCTGCCTTTATGACCCGTTCTTCCAGTCCAGCTACGCTATTTCCAACCATCTTCACAAAAGCCTAGTGTGAAAAAACCAAAAGAAATCCAACTTTTTCACTAACAAATTAAAACAGGATTATGTATTGCACGACAGTGGTGAAAGTTCCATTAATTAAATGAGAAGGAGTCAAAAACTCCATGCTCTATTTCCCTTCCACCTACAAGTCCATTTTATTGCTAAAAATAACTTGAGATACTCAAAAGGCTGCAAAAACAGGTTAAATCTAATAAAACAATCAGTCTTCTTTTTCCTATTTGCCTTTCAAATAACTAATTTAGACTTCCATCTGCCTTTCTACTAAAAGGGGGACCAAGGATCTGAATCAGTTTTGAAGCTTTACCAGGGATCAACAGACCTCTCATTCTACTAGTCTCCGAATGGCTCCCAAAACAGTAACTTTGAAAGATACTATTAAAAAAAAAAAAAGAAAAAGTGGTACTATTACTTTCCAAAAAAAGAAAGATGGCTGCCTTGCTTCAAGCAGTAAATTAAAAAAATGTTTTGTTTTGTTTTTTTTTTTAAAAAAGGCATTTTGTTATAGAATGCCCATAGTCTCCAGAAATTCTTAATAAATTGTGTTCTCTTCATTAACGCTGAAGTATTGAACCCAGATTGGGCATGGGGAGCAAAACGGACCTGAACCCACTCCACGTGCATGCACGTGCACAAGACACACAATTACAGCATATCATTGATTCTTCCCCCTATTGAGAAATGGAATATCAAATACATACCTCTAGTTTGTCAATCTTCCTGTATATCTGTCTCATTTCTGTAGCTTTTGTGTAAATTTGAGGTATACTTTCATTGACAACTTGAGAGGAATCACTTCGAATCTAAAATGATTCGAAGAAATAATACAAAAGTTAAAATGTTAAGTAGTAGATTTTATTCCGGAAACTAGAACTGTGCTCCAATTAACAGATTAAAACTCGTAGTTTAAAAATACTAGATTAGTATTAGTATAAGAATACTAGATTAAAACTAATAAGCTAGCTTCTTTGTACAGTTTAGTAAGTGCCTTTGAACAAAATTTATTTTGCATAGGCAAATATTTACCTTTATAATTATATTAAAATTATATTATATTAAAAAGAGGCTGCCT